ATATCATAATGTGATATTTGGGGTTTGTTTTTACATAATTTTTTTTTAATTTTTTTATTTATTTATTTTTTTGTTGTTGTTGACATGCTAATAGAACCAGTGTATTTTATTTACTTGTTGCTTTAAAACAGGTTTTAAATCAAGGCTATTTTCTTTTCTGTCTTCTCAGTATGCACATAAAACTTACTTAAGCTATATTTTTAACAAGTTAGTGAAATATATGTTTTAGGTTAGCTGCTTTAATAGAAAAAGAACTAAACTAGAATGATATACCTTGGAACATTCATTTTATTGAAAATAAGAATATTATCTTAGCAGTGTTGGCTAAGATTTCTTCAGAGTTTTTTTTTGGGGGGGGGCATTTATTTTGATATTTCCATATACATTCATTTAAATAAGAATCCAGTAAAGTAAGATCATTCTGTATAAAGCTGTCGATTTATAATAGAAAAAATATCAAATTACTGTTGTATTTTAATATAATGGAATGAATTGCACTACATTAGGGAAAAGAGTGAAAAAATTTCTATTTTTGCATTATTTTCACTTTTGCATATGCTTGTTACAAGAGGCCTTATTCTGTAGATCTGTAGCTAAATGATATTTTTATGTTTTTACATACGCAAATTAATTAATAAGAAGAACTGTGATTTAAGCATTGTCTTTGCAGTGGTATAGATTGAATCTTATATAGGTTATGGAATTATCATTAAATATTCAGATAAGTGTAATATTAACAGCATATGTACGTTTTTTCTTCATCATTTAATGCATGCAAATTCTTATAAATGTATTAGTATTTTTTCTATGTATTATAAAAAGTAGCTATCAAAAGCAAATAATTGATAAGTAAATAATAGCTGCAAATTCCGTACGTAAAGGTTTTATTTTTATTTATTTATGTATGTATTATTTTTTTAAACTTCATTTTACCTAGGTAAATAAAGGTTTTTGAAAATGGAATTCTTACTCTTCTAAATCTATGAAAAAATTTATTTTTTTGTCCATCAGAGCACTGAAAGTATTTTTATACAGCATTCTGCACTTCAATCTAAAAGCATTATAATATAAAGGTGCATGTCTTGAACCAGTATTTGAAATCATAAAGCCTTTAGCTGCCTTTTCTGGAAACACATGCAAAATAACATTTTAACCAGTTTGCTACAATAATAGATTCCATATATAAGGAAACTTCAAATAGCATATTTAAAATTAAAAACATGCTTTATATGTAGACATGCTATTAATTTTTTGAGAAGTTTAAACTGTGAACTTGCTAGATATATTAAAGCGCCAGCATGCACTTATGTATTTATCATGCAAAAATTTATTTACAATTTTAGAAAATTATCTTTTGATTCAGGAAAGCTTTAGAAACTTAAAAATTACTGAAGTTGTATTCATACCAATTTGTACCCACAGCTTTAACGGCCTCTAAATATTTTAACATGTAATGTAAATAAAAGTAATATGCTTAACACTATCAGTACTGAAATGCCATTGCTGAGAAATTAAGAATTATCACACAAATAGATCACTGACAGACTTCTAATTTTTATATGACACATGGAATTACCTTGAATTCTAAAAAGAAAGTAGTTAAATAAATATGAAAATATGAATATAAATCCAGTACAACCTCATAAAAATTTAAGCATACAGCTGCAAAAAATGTATTGCCAAAAAATAGATTTTGAGATGCTTAACATTATGCATGTATTTAAAAGTAAAAATTGGAAATTCAATAAAGGAATTCAAAAAGAAAGTATTTTTAACTAATATACAAATGTGAAATATAATATATGAAAATGTTTTAGAAACTTTTAAAATAACTTAAATCATATGAGAAATTTGGCAGTTTAAAAAAAAAATACAAGAAAGAAGCTGAACTGCAGAGAAAAGAAGGGGGCCAAAAGCCAAACATTTTATAGGAATGCAAAAAATTGGAAGTTTCGATACTCTAGAATGTTAAATAATAAAGTTTTAGCGAACACCGTTAAAGAGCCAAAGATGGCACCCTAAAGCGTTGCTACAACACGAGGCCTATGCTAGAACATGAATGACGAAGATTCCAACCTTCAGCAAACCTTGTCAGTAGTCAATGCGCGAACGACATTTTTACAACTTTGAAAATATGCGCGTAGCGTATGTTGTAATTAACCATTCATTAATTTTAAATTATAATTAATGGTAATCAATTTATTACATTTAAAATCCATATACATATAAAACTGAATAATTAAAAATATACCTGTAATTATATGCAAATTAATTAGAAATTTTCTTTTAACTCCTCAAGCATTCATATAAAAAGTACCTAATCACTACTATCATAGAAAAATCAGAAGCTAAATCATATCTTTATTCTGGATATGATTTCTACAGGGAAATAAAATTTAAATAACCAAGAATGATACAATAAGTATTAAACAAAACCGCATAATTATGAATGCAAAGATTTATTGTAGCATGCTTAGCAAGCTTAAGTTCTGATTTGAGAATGTTTTTTTATAACACAGTTTTCATTTGCCTGCATACTTATTTTTTCAATCAAAACTGCTTCAGAGTTTTAGACTAAATTTGTCGAAATCGTCGATTTTTTAACAATAGAAAAAATTCTTTCGCAAGCTGCATTTGAATGAGGTATTATTAAGACAGCAGCATTACAGAAGGCAATACTTTGATTAATACACCCATTCATATTTTTTAATTTGGCAATTTCTCCCCATGCTTATCAATCGCAATCTACAATTTCTTTCAAATCATCATACTTGACATGGAAAATTCAATTTCTACTTGATTAAGACATTTTCATCAATAATGGATGGGAAAGTATTCTCAAGTAAAGAACAGATGAAAATGAGACTTCAGTCTCAAGTTGATGTCAGCAACTCAGAATGTTTTAGAAAGGGATCACTCGGTGGAAATTTATCAATTATATATGAAATGCAGTTACAAAAAAGCTCGCACAGATTGAAAATGATTTCACTTCACTTTCATTCAACTTGGCATTTTTAAATATAGTCTTGTTTCCGCACCATCACTAATTTTCATTTCTTTTTGTTTACTACTTCTAAATGGAATAGACGTTAGAGTAACATCTTCATTTTCTTTAAAATATGATGTTTTACGAATCTAACATAAATTCATTAAAAGTTCAAAATGTTCTCTTCTCAATTTATGTATATAAGGAGCTTGTTGTTGCAATTAATATTTACTGTTATAAAACAAAGGCAAAGATTTTCAAAAATAAAACAAGTACAATTGGTGGTCGGTGACTGTAAATTTTTTAATGTTTGCAATCTCTTTCCTTCATTCTAGTGTTATCTGGTTTATTCCAAAACAATTATCCAGCATCCACTGTTCCAAATCCTTGTTATAGATTTCTAAAAGAGACAACCCTCTCGTACTGCAATATTTCAAATTTTATGAGATTTTGCATTCTGTCCCAAAATTTGTTGAGCACTTTGAAGATATGCTTCCGTTTTGAACTTTTCCTCCAAGTAAAATATATATTTTATCAACATTTCAATTTCTGAGCCATTAATTTTTCAGTACTTTTTTTTGCAGCTATATGCAAGAGGTGGCACGGACAACCGGGTATTATACTTGGTTGATGCATTTTGATAAATGATGCTACACCTTTAAACTTTCCAATCATATTACTAGCATTATCTGAAGAAATGATAAGCAATTTTTCCATTCTAAACCTTTGTTTTTAAAGTTTTCATTTATACAATTAAAAATACCTTTCCTGTATTATTCGTGCATTCTAAAATAGAAATCAATGAAGTAATATCACTCCTTTTCTTTACTGTAGTATGTTATAACCAATGGGTACAGTTGTTATCATTGTTATCATTACTTTCCATCAGTATTAGAGAAATGATGTACTGCACACTGATTTTATAATATCAGCAACAGTATTTCTGCAAGCGTTTTCACAATAGCAGCAGTTTTGTATGACCGCAGCTAAATTTTTTTGCTATGCAGAATCCGGAAACATTGCTTTGAAAAGCTCTTTGGAATGATCCAAACAGAAAGCGTAGATTAGTTCAATTAAAAAACGAACAAAATAGCATTCGGCTTTATAGATCTGTTTCGTCATCTTTTATTAAGAAATTTTTTTTTCTTTAGATTTACGGTGCCAATTCTATATGTTTGAAAAACACATGCCGTTTACATTCATCTTTTCCGCCATGAGCAACTGAGAAGTATTTGTTGCATACACTGCAGTGTGCGTGATTCACAGAAATTTCGGACGCTTTAATGCATGGAAATTCTGAGAATATGAATCTTTAAACTTCTGCTTGAAATTTGGCTTCTTCGTTCGAGGCAGCATTATGATTAAAAATCTTTCACCTGATTCACAGTTCACAAGACACATGCTAAGCTCTCGCCGTAAACTACACAATGCGCCGAATGCAGCCTAAACACGCATCAGCGAGGAACCTGGGAGACAGACAATTGGGTGGAACTATTGATAATCGTTAACGGTTGGAGTTATTGATCTACGATTGGCTAATTCTTCAAAACTAGAACGCACTCACACGTGATATATGATAACACGAGTATTCAGCCAATCATCGGATGAATTAGTTGGTTCCGTTTTGCGTACTGGTTCTCCTGCTCTTGTTTCTGTAAAATCCGTAGTATTTTCCATACTTTTCGTAGCTCGTAGTTTTTCATGAATTTCCGTAGAAACTACGGAGAATCCGTAGTAGTTGGAGTCTATGCTAGTAGCTGTAATATGATTGGCTTATTTTAATGAACTTCCCCAACTCTCGAACGAAGGTTACTTACCGTAAGGATACCTCCGACGGTCGTTGTCACGAATGCCAATTTAACCAACAGTCCTTATGGGTACTGGAGTCGTAAAATTTAGCGGTCGTCCGTTAAGAAATTATCGTTATTTACGTTCCTTGTCGTGAATAGGGCCCTTAATATAAATAGTAATACATGCTAATCATTCAAAAATCGTTGAAAATTTTATATTACTATAATTAATTTACCTCATATAAACAACAATATAATCTGAACATCCTTGATCATTGAAAATCTCCAGCAAATCTCCTACAGACATTTGTCGGTCTATCTTTCCAAGGACATCCATAAACTGGGAGAAAAGATAAAAACAATGAATTTATAAAAGAACATTAAATATTTTGAAAAAAAGCATTAATTAGCAGTAATTTTTAATCTTAAAGAACTTACAATGCATAAATTTAGTCCTAAATTAATATATATACAGTGGTGGCCAAAATTGTGGACACTTCTGGAAATTTTTATGTTTTTGAACTTTGTATGCTTATAGAAAATGTTACGTTTCGCAAAATGCAAACTTGTATATATCATTTTAAAGAGAATTTATTACTGAATTCAATACAAAACACAAAATTCAATTATTTGCAATACAAAAAAAAAAGTTATATGTACTATAATACAAATAAAAAACACAGTTATGAAGTGGTTTGTAATGTCTAGCTTTCCTGGCCGATCACTGTTCTTGTTCTGAGAACCAATCAAATGTTAGTAACTGCCAGTACAAGCTGACATCATGTTTACACTTGCCAGTAGAAGTTGACATCAAGTTTACACAATTCATTATTTTGCTTTGTTCTGTAGAAGGAGAACCTGTTTCTTATATACTGCAATTACAAGTAGGAATTTTTTTAAAAATTTTTAATATTTAGTCAAGAACAATGACATCAAAAAAGAGTAGATTGGACACCTAGAAAGAGATGTATATTATTGTGTTACGAGAAGTGGTCTTTCCTATGCTGAAATTGCAAGACAGGGTGGGTGGTTTCAGTGACCACATCTGAAGTCCTGGAGTCCGAATGTTTTGTTTACGATATCAGGAGAAAATTCAATAAAAAACAAAGAAGGAAAAAGGCGAAAAAGGTGCACCACATCAATTGATACAGAAGAATAAAAAGACTAGTCTCCAAGATAGAAAAATGTCATAAGCGGCCATCAGAAAGTGATCTGAATGATGCTGGTGTTTCTGTCAGTTCAAGAACAACCATCAGAGAAGATTAACAAATGTTGGACTGAGAGGTAGAATTCCACAAAAAAATGCCTTATCTTAATTTTCAGCAGCGGAAAAAAAAAAGACTACAGTGGGCAAAGGAACACATTAATTGGACTGATGATCAGTGGTCACATGTTGTATGGAGTGATGAAACTAAGATATCGTGATTCGGTAGTGATGGACGAAAATATGTAAGACGTAGAATAGGCAGAAGAGCTACATCCTGACTCCATTCAAGCAACTGTGAAGAACCCAATTAGTGTATGATTGATCATGCATGTCAGCAGATGGTATCGGTCGCCTTCATGTCATCGATAGGACACTGAATGCCAGAAAATACATTGACACTATTCTAGAACCAAAAACTCTACCTTCCATCAGAGATCTCTTTCCAGCAATGCTTCGTTATTTTCAGCAGGATTCTGTTCCTTGCACACGGCCAAATATCGAAAGAGCGGTTTCGTACAAGAGCATTAAGTTATTGTCATGGCCAGGAAACAGTCCTGACCTCAATCCTATCAAATGGTGGCACTGTTTAAAACTCTTGTCCGAATGAGGCACCCATCGAATAAAAGGAAACTAAATTGAGGCTATAATTGTTTCCTGGCATCATGTATAACGAAAGAAGAGCTTAAAACTCTTGTCAGTTTCAATAACGTCGATGTGAAGCTGTAATAATAAAAAATAAAGGGTTACCCTACTTAGTACTGATAACTCACTGCAATCATCACTATCTAATGTATATCGATAAACTATTTGTTTAACTTTTTGTATTGCAAATAATTGAATTTTGTGTTTTGTATTGAATTCAGTAAATATTCTCTTTAAAATGATATATACAAGTTTGCATTTTGTGAAACGTAACATTTTCTATAAGCATACAAAGTTCAAAAACATACAAATTTCCAAAAGTGTCCACAATTTTGGCCACCACTGTATATATATATATATATATTCAGTAGTCCTGATTAACTGATACAAACAAGAATCAAACTACAGCTGGGTAACCAGGCTCTCCAGATAATATGAATTCCAGAACAAAAGTACATAATATTGTTACATATTACATTAAATATCTCAACCAGATGGACATGAAAAATCAAAACTTTACTGAAATGAATAACAGCTCTTACAAGTATGAGACACAGCAAAAAATAATCCAATAAAAATGTAAGCATAAACAAAAATTTCTCTCTATTGCAGGGAATTTAGCAGATCGCCATAATCATTCTCAGCAAAGTTTAAAGCAGCAAACACAGACTGTTAGATTAATGTAAAACAGGTCAAAAGTTTCAATCTAGTAACTCATAATCACAGTTGCTTTACAATTCCATCCCATGTTTCAAAAACTTTCAAAATGTCACCAAACTGGTAAAGATTTGCTAAATATTGCCATAGGTTTGGTAGGGAAATTTTGTGTATTTTTGGCTCTATCTTTAAAATTCCAACAATTCACTCAGAATTAAAAGTTCTACAAAACTATATGAAAAATAAACACATTAAGTAGCTATAAATAAAATATCCATTAAATAAAAAAAAACTATCATACAAAAGGCTCTAAATAAATAAGTACATAAATAAAAATAATATACAACACAGATACATAAAAACTAAATTAATTACAAATAAACACAACATTATAAAATTGATTAATCTTAAAAAGCTCCTTGGGTCTATGGCATCTATATATCAAAGCTACCTGTTAATGTTTTACTAACTTCATAAGTTCTCCTCTTTTCTGAAAAATTATCACATATTAAAATTTCAAATCATTTGGACTTTTAGTTTTACTGTGAGAAAAAAATCATCCAAATATGACCCTCGCATCTTTTTTGAATGAAGAATAAATTAGTGTTTACTTACATTAATAAAAATTTGTGATAATGCAGTAAAACTTACGTTAATTGACACTTCTTTCATACAGACAATTTCTGATTTCCCAGTGCCATGAAATGGAATGATTTTGTATATTCCCATTAGCGAAGCTTCCTCATAATGGAAAAAAGATCTGGTTCTGATGATATTCATTATTGGATGCTCCAACTTTATTTATGACATACAGCTACACAGAAGTTACAGATGTGGGGGTAGAAAACGAGAAGGAAAGGAATGCATATTAAGGAAGGGATTTACGAGACATTCTGGCATCAAGTGATAATGAAAATTGTTTTGTCTCCGTATGTTTGACCAGTTAGAAGTAGAAATGCTTGTCTTTTGGAAACAGTTTGTATGTTTTTGGTGTTTGTTACATGACAGTAGTGTTTTGAGGTGTTAGAGAACTATAGTACAAGAAAATAGATCTGAGGTGGCAGAAGTTGTATCAGAGGAAGGCATCATGCATCAATTGGCAATTCTTCTTCATCTAATGGAGAAACAGTGACAGGAAGGGAATTACCTGATATTATGACATCAAAAATAACATGATAACTTAGCCATTTCTAAATACTGGTTGATTATGATGCAGTAATACATCAATTGTACTTCTGTCTAACTCTGCTTTAATAACAAGTAGAAAATTAATTTACTGCTTAACTGTGTTTTTCTCATAATTTCAAAATTGGGACTTTAAATTTTTTAAATGCAGAAGGTAAACATGTATATAGAGAAAATGGTATAGATCTAAATGTTGTAGATTTGGATGCATACATAGAGCTTTTGTCGCTAGCAGGTACATAGAGATCCAACAATGAATCAATGACAAGTCTACTGGATGAATATAAAGCAGATTGTTTCTAGTGATCAAGTCTGAAAATTATTTAAACTGATATCTAAAGTCATTTGATTCGATGACAAAAAGAAGACCAAATGATAAATTTGCTGCAATCAGAGAATTACGCAATAGATAGTAGAAATTTTACCAAATCTTTTTAACTCAGAAGTGTATGTAGCAATACACACCTAGCAAACCTATTAAGTATGATATGAAAATCTGGAACTTGTGTGACACTTGCTATGGGTGGAATGCTGGGCCCTATTTAAGAAAACAGCCAGGATCTGCCTTAAAAAAGAATAAAGATGGGGAGTATTTTGGGTTTATTGTATGGTTTATGATAGCATAATACGGCTTGTGACAATTTCTTTGTATTCTACAATTTAGGTCAAATGCTACTCGGGAGGAATATTACAATGATTGGCATGCTACCAAAAAATCTATACCTACAGAAATTTTGCAAAAAAAAATCTGATATGTACACCACATGACTTCCTTGTACGGAATATTAAATTATACGCATTTTTTCTTGCATTTCGTTTAAACTTATTGGATTTAATTGAATCTACTTCGCCGACAGCGCATAAACCACAATAGAATAAATGCATTCTTTAAAATTCACACTCTCTCTTTGTTTACCATAGCGACACTCTGGCGCTAGGTTCACTTAACAGTATTATATTGCGTTCATATTATAACTCAGAATGCACAAAATTTATATCATTTAAAGAATTATCTAATCGTTGCCACATGTTCTATTTAAATACTATAATAAAGCTAGAACGATGTATAAAAGAAATAAAGCAAACAAAACAAAACAAAAAAAAGTTTTTCACAGACGTTTGAGTATTTCTCATTAAATTAATTCAGTTCTCACTTCGTGACAAGGCAAAAATACATAAAAACTCAAAATACATATATTCAAAAATTACTAATTATTAAAAATTAAATTATTATTTATTAAAAATTAAATTACTAATTATTAAAAATTAAATTATTATTTATTAAAAATTAAATTACTAATTATTAAAAATTAAGTAAAACTTAAACACTTATTTCCTCAAAAAAATTCCAGAAAGGATTAAGCATGAATAAATTTGCAATAATAAATGAAGGGTTATCTTTCTGGTTGCGAAGCTACGTTTCTCTAGATTGGCAACAAATCCACTTCTCTGTTGTTTCAAATGTAAACAAGCAATGGCCGCCATCAAAAAAATTATTAGGCTTAGCGGCATTTAAACAACTTTTAAATTGTTGCTAATTCTAAAAATATTGCATACAGATTTACTAAATTCATAAAAACCTGAACCGGAAGATAAGAACAACATAATTCAATCATTTTTAAAGCAAAAAATGTACAATTTACAAACATACAAGAGTAAAGAAACTGAGATCACTGAGCCGGGTCACAGAGTGGATATATATATATATATATATTTATATAAGTTTGGCGCGACCGATTGCAACCAAAATTCAAGGTGCACATCTACATGTTATAGTAGTACTATATACAAAATTTCAGCGTTCTGAGGCTACTCGTTTTTGAGTTATGCAAGATACGTACGTACATACGTTCGTACAGACGCCACGAAAAATTCTCTTCAGAATTCATTTTAAAGCAGTTTTATAATTTTTTTGGAAGAAAAGAGTATTTTATTCTGTCCTTACGTACAGATATCACGCAAAAACATCGTTAAATTGCAGAAATATGCTGCCTGAAACTTTTCGCGATTACAATACTTCCTTTTTACTTCGTACAAGGAAGTAAAAAAGTAAACAAAATTATGGTTCAACTTTTCTCTTTATTAAAAACACAATATTTGTGTCTTATATTTCAAAGAATAAATGTATTGTTTTTTAAGATACATTTCATAAAGAAGAAAAACTGAATTAAGTGTTAAAAGGAAACCAGAGATCAACATTTTTTATAATAAAACTAAAAACTAAAGAGCTATAAATGTGCTAGAAAACATTGTAGCTTATGCTGCAAAAAGAGAAAGAAACCATTAAAATAAATAAATCTTTGGATAAAGATTGTGTTTATCAAAGAATTGTTTTTTAAGCCTTGGATGAAAAACTTGTAAAAAAAGTGCAGGGAAACAGCTGAATATCACCTAAGAGGGAAAGCAGCTAAAAATATTGTTCTAGCAGCCAAAACGTTCAGTGAAAAATTACTAGTACTTCAAGAGATACAGAAATTAGAAAGAAGCAAGGAAAATGGCACATATGCAGTAAAAAAAAAAAAAAAAAAAAAAAAGACAACAAACACACTTTTAAGTGCGCAAAATGTAACTTTTTTACACATGAAAAGCATTTCAAAACAGTGTGATAACTGTTATGAAGAATAATATTTTTTTAAATATTTATGACAATTTTTATAGTAACCAAGTAAACCAGATTTTTGAAAATGCATTTTATTTAATACTCTTTTACTGCCATAAGTTTCTAAGAACACTAAATAGCAAAATAAATTATTATATTAAATTTAGTCCTTGCAGAATGGAAAATTTAAATGCAAAATATGCCTTGGCCTTCTTTGATCCAAGAGACTCACTTGTAGGTACTGCGCAAGGAATGCTTGAGGGTTAAAACATAAAACATTATATTCCCAATAATCCTCTGAAGTCATTAAATAAAATGGCAAATAATTAAATTATTCACCTTAAGCAGACACTTGTACAAATTTTTGCAATTTTATTTAAAAAATTTGTATATGCTGTATTCAATTTAAATTAAACAAGGAAAACTCTTATCTAATTTGCTAAGGATAAAATATCAGTAATCATATAGTATGCAATCTACTGCTTTTATTACTTATTTATTTTTTAATGGATGGCACTAAATTGTTGTTTTAACCATTTCTTTCACAGCCATTTTATCACACATTTGAATTTAAAAACATTTTAGCCCTCTGAGAAATAAATAACTAACCAAAAGCAGTAGTCTGCATACTACCTGATTAGCAAAATATCTGTAAATATCTTACAGTGTCATGAAAATCTTCTATTGTAAATTGTGGAAAACCTAAAGAAACTAAATCATCTTTGGTTTTTGCAGCTATTTCTTTAAACCTGAAAATAAAGGATCAGAAAATGAATGCAGCACATTCTAATCAACAAAATTTTATTACAACATATAATCAATGTAATTATAGAAAGCAGTTATTCAAATTTCACTCTCATTATGCCACTAAGTTTCTAGACATTTAAATGGCAAATTGGGAAGAGGGGAGATTTTTCTATTTGGCAACATATATAGATTAATTCCAGGTTAGTTAACTATAGTAAATTAAACAAAGGTTAATCAGTTTATGAAAATAAATGTGATATTTATTTGTTTGTCAAAATAAAATTAAAATTGGTATTCATTAGGAAAGATTAACATGAAAACTCAGTTTTATATGCTTTTAAAGAAAATTATATCATACATCAGTGAAAAAAATTGATTTATATGACTATTACTCAGATTATAATTTTTTAACCCATAGATTAAAAAAAATATGAAAGTAATACAAATAAAACTCTTTTTATTACAGGAAATTTGGAAAAGTACTCTAGACTCATTTCAAAATTCTGAATCTATTAATATTAAATAGCATGAAATCTCTCTACAAAGAAAACTCATAAATTGTAGATAATTTTGAGTGTTCTCTGAAGATGGCTGCATTCGAAAGTATGACTATTGATACTGATGTCATTTTTAAGCTCTAAAAAATACAATTCACTTTCAGATGTGATTATCTTATTGTACAAGTTTTAATGTATTATACATATCCGCATATCAAGATACAGCATGGAAACAACCTAACAACAGCATGCAGAACAAAGAAAAAAAAAAAAATTCTATTTATTTTAGTTTGATTCTACAAGATAATTTATCAGACAAATAATAAAAAACAAATTATTCACACATAAGCTTTTATAAAGTTCAGAAATTTTCAGTACCAAATTGTTAAATACACACAGGGTGTTTCAAGACAGTGGTATATATCTTTAGTAAAAAATAACAGCAAAGCACAAAGCATATATACATATATATTAGATGAAACCTAGATCACTGTTTTCATTTTCCAAATAAATCAATAATGATCAAAGGGATTCAAAATTTAATAAACAATAATTAAATACTCCCCTTTGAAAGTGCACATTAAGCAATGGTCATAATCAAGGCCCAGATTTTAGTGATATATACATTTTTTGAATATTTTCCTCTTTTAAAGCATTTTTGGGGTCTTTTAGAAGAGGAATTTTCTAGTAATCAAACTGAAAAATTAAATTACCCTTGAAATAACACAGTCTCAAATCCTATAACTCATTTTTACTGGGCTGGCATGTCTAGCCCAGAACTGATTATGTAATCTGTTACTCCTACCTATCATGACAAGCTTTTCCGAAAAAATAGGAGTGTCACTTCCAATAATTTTCGCATGAAGACATTTTTTAGTTCTTTTAAGACTTTTTGTGCAAATTCAGTTCCACAGGAATACATGCAGATGAGGAGAAGGCTATTATGCAGACATTCTTGGAATTACAATGTCATTTTCTAAAAATCCAGGCCCTGGTCATAATATTAAATATGTTAGTATTATAAATGAAATTTTACCTATGGCAGTTCTCAAGATAAAATTCATAACTCTTTGATTTGGATTGCAATTATATTTACTTTTCCGTTAGAGGAGAATTAACAATAAAAACTTTTGAGAGCAGAAACATTGACTTCATGATTTCAGAGAAATAGAATAAAAACTATTAACCCTCCCAGCATTATAGACAAAAAATTCTGTATAGAAGGCTGGCTTTCTTATTCATTACACATGAAAATTTCTGTTAGCTTTTAATTTATCTGATTTCATTTTGGATGTACACTAGAAGAAAAGGAATCATGGTACAAAGTGGAAGAATCATTTTTTAAATTAAGAAAATATAATTTATTCATGACATTCTCAGGAACTTTGAAATTTCAAGGCTAAATCCGTAATGCTGAGGGTTAAATTTCAAAAAAGGATGGTACAGTTTTAAGTATCCAGACAACCTATGACCATAGCTTTTTCAGATGTTAAAAAAACTATGCAATTAATTGTTTTTTCACCCTGAATTACACTAAATAAATGTTCAAATAAAATATAATGAAATGGAAGAAAGCAACTTGAACCTTCTTTTTTTTTATGATCTAATTCCATATTAAAAAAAAAAAAAAAAAAAAAAAAAACCTCTTTTACAAAAATTTTTTGTATACATATAGATTTGAAATACATAATAAAAAATATGCCATTTTTGAACCTATTCTGATAAAAAAATTAGCAGCAAGAGGGTTAAGACAATTACGAACTTGAGATAAATTACTTAATTATGGTAGCGAATTATTCCAAACTTCCTCCTATTTCTCATGTACTGCAAATGCAATTTACAGTACATAATGAAAAAAATAATGTTTTCTCCTTGAATACTATATAACATAAGACCATTTTAAACGGTAACGTTTAAATTAAGCAAATAAAGTAATTTATAAATGCATTCTAAAAGGAAGTCCAATTTGTAGTTTGGACATTAGCAAAGCATTGAATGTTAAACTATAGATTATACACTGCTGGCCATTAAAATTGCAACACCATGAAGTAAAGCAAATACAAAAAAGATATTTATTGCACACAAATAGTATGGCATGAAGACAAATTGATTACATTTGTAAGCATTTTGGAAGTTTACAGAGGTGAGGTACAAAATTAATAAAAAAAGCTGCCACCCCTGGCAGCTAAAACAGCCCTTTCCCCGTTAAGCATGGAGTAAAACTGGACTTGGATGACAGAAATGGGCAAACTCATTCCCATGCCTGTTTCAAGTTTATGACACACTTTCATCAACACTATTAGCTGGAGAGGGATGGTGGGCTAGACTCTCAACGACCCGCGACCAGATGTTTTCAATGGGTGACAGATCTGGGGACTGTGCAGGCCAGGGCAGCGATTGAATACCCTGTGTATCGAGGAAGGTCAGAACACGATGTGCAACATGTGGTGTTGTATTACCTTGTTGGGACATGGCATTTGGGAGTGTTGAAGATAAGGCACAACCATTGGACGTAACACGTCAGAAATGCACCCATCTGTATTCAAATTAACGTCGATCCGAACTAGAGACGTGCATGTCATGTACTAAATGGCTGCCCCAACTTTCACAAAAGGTGCAGGGCCCTTATGCCAATATCAAATGCAAGCAGGCGACGTGTGGTCTCTTCGGACATTCCACACACATGTATGGCTTTCGAAATATGTACGCAGAACCGGGACTTGTTTGAAAAGGCGACATTGTGCCACTCCTGTACCCCGCTTTGTCGTCTGGTGCATCAGAGTCGCCGTCTCTCTCCATGCTGCATTGTCAAGGGAAGCCGAAGTAATGGACACCCTGCTAATAGTTCACACTGCTGCAAATATCAATGCACCTCGTGAGCTTATGCTGGGCGTGCTGCAAGCATGCCCATTTCCTGACTAATGCTCCATGATGTGGTCGTACGGTTTTGCATGGCTTACCTCTCAATATGTCTGTCCTCTCTGGCATTAGTTATGGGAAGGCGTTGAGATCCTGCATGCTGTTCAGTACGACCCTCAGCAAGCCATTGACTCCATAGTCGGATGACAATGTTTGGATGTCGACCAGTGCGACCGGAGATATCACGGAATGATAATCTACACATTCGATTGGCAACGATCCTGCCTCGATTGAATTTTGGAACTTCCTGGTAAGGAGTTCCTCTTCTTATTGAGGCTTAACACGATATTGTGAGCAAACTAAAACCTTAAAAAGCACTTTCCAAATGAGAAATCCACTATGCAATTTTTTTCATGCAGTGCTACAGATATTGTTTCTCCCTGTGTCATCTAAATGCTCTGAAATATTAATTATTTGCATATGTCAACCTCTTCTTCCTTTCATGTGACTGACGTTCATCAGACCATTCCTTCCTGGTGTTGCAATTTTAATGACCAGCAGTGTGTTTATAGCGCCAAGCACAGTACATAATTCTTGTGACTAGATGTGCCAAGGTAAATTAATATTATAAATCAAGAGGTAACATCTTCCCCTTTTTTTTTTTTTTTTTTGCTTTGCCACATTACAATTTTAAATTTCATTTAATAATGCTGTAAAATAATTATTTTATTTTTATTATTGACTGCTTATGCATAATTACATGTAACTATTAAAGTTGTTGATTCTTCTGATTATTATTTTTTATTTGTACATTTTATAAATTTTATTTTGCAATAATTTTTTTATGATTAGCTAACTGTAGTAAAATAATTCCAGAAATGAAGCACTTCTGATGCTTTATTTCTGGCTGTGAAGAATTACTTTTGTTGGATTTAGATGGCTAAATTAGCAGCTGTCTACTTTAGTATCCAAAATCAGAAATCTAGTTATAAAAAGTATTTAATATAATAATTCAATACAATAAAGCAACTGTAAAATTTTTAAAGTTAAATTTATGAATGATTTTTAGTTCAATGAGAGATTAATTGAATATAAATACATTTTTAACGTTACCTGCTGCCGTACTGATGGCTGAATAATTAAGGCCACTGAATACTAAGAGTTTGACCAGGGTTGAATCCCAGGAGAGCAGGTTTTTTTAAACCAACATCTATCTTTTTTTTTTTTTTTTTTTTTTTTTTTTAAGTAAAGTTTGCTATTGTTTTGTTTATGACTTGAGAAATAGAAAACCAGTTTAGACACTTATTTTCTTAAGAAAAGACACTTCAAAAATCAGTGTTGCTGCACCAGCTAACATATTTTGTCACCATCATTTCCACCTACAGCCTCATTGTCACAAATTTCTTTTTTTTACTTCAACCTTATACTTCCGTTTTGAGGTTATTGATTATTGTTTTACTGAAGTTTAAAATACTATTCTTGCCTAATTTTTATCTGAATATTTTAAACTTAAGACAAAATGCAAATGATGAAAAGAAACAAAATTGTGCAACGTTCAGCTTTTATGAACTTTTAAATGATGTTAATGTTGATTATAAAGAAACAGAAATGTGTTTTTATTTGTTCAAGAAAAAGGCAGAAACATCAGAATTGACGCACAGTGCTTATTTAGATACTATAACTGATGATAAACAATTCGAAACAGAATTTGAAATAACAGAGGACTATCGAGAAAAGGCTGTTAGGATACAGTTAAAATTGGAATGATTTCTCGATAATATTAAGAGAAAATTAAATGAAATCCAAAACACAGCGTCAGAGAGTAGCCAGAAATTAGTTACTGATGAAAATACATGAAAAACTTTGTGCCAATGCCTACCGAAAGTAGAATTTTATAAGTTCGCAGGTGATTTAAAAAGTTGGCTTACGTTCTGGAATCAGTTTAAAAACATACATGAAAATAATAACTTAACTAATGCAGACAAATTCCATTATTTGATACAGTCAACAAAAATTAAATCAGAAGCTAGAGATATTGTAGAATTTTTTCCTGTTAAAACAAAAATTATCCTTTGGCTATAGAAAGCCTCACTGAGAGATATGGCCGAAAAGAACTTTTAATTGATTTTTATGTTCAAGAGTTAATAAAACTTGTTTTGGATAACGCAGCGAAAAGGAAGCAGGATTCTTTGAGTAGTTTGTATAACAAACTTTCAACACAACTTAGAGCACTGAGCAGTCTTGGTGTGACAACTGATCAGTGTGGAACAATGTTATACCCTCTTGTAGAAAGTGCTATTCCTATTCATGTATTGCGATCATTTGAAAGACAACAAAACATTACTGAATCTGAACGAAACATCTTGAGTCTTGATGCAATAATTGAATTTCTGAAAAGCAAAGTTCAGTCAGAGGAAAAAATAAAATTAGGCAGAACGGATATTTTTTCTGTGTCTGATCGTAACCAAAAAGCACTTGGCAACTAGCCAAAATATTCCTTCCGCGTCGGATTTGATGAATCATGAAGCAATACCTTCTTGTTCGTTTTGTTTAAAAGATCATGAAACGCGTAACTGTAAAAAAGGCGTTTTATATTCCGTTAGATGAAAAAATGTCTGCGGTAAAAAAGAAAGGTTTATGTAGAATATGCTTGGTTAAAGGTCACCTCAGTAACAAATGTCGATCAAATGTTAAGTGTCAGATCTGTTCAAAAAGACATTTGAAATGTTTTTGTCCCAGCCTTGAATGTAATAAGTCTAGTGAAATGCATAACCAGGAAAATGATGAAAAAAAAGAGAAAACAATTGATTCTTTGCATTCGAGTGCTACGAATGAAGTTTTCCTTCAGACCCTGGTTGTAAACATAGAGGGTAAGAATAAAAGGCGTAAAGTTAGATTAATGATTGATACGGGAAGCTCAAAAAGTTATGTTTTAAAGTCTACCGCAGAAGAAATGGGTTTTGACTTGCAATGGGAGGAAGAATTTAGTCACTCTTTATTTGGTGGAACGAAAACTGAAATTTATAAGCATAAATGTTACAAGATTTATTTGAGTAGCCTTGATGGTAATTATTCGTGTAAATTAGATGCTGTAGACCATGATGTTATTTGTAATGATATTTCAAGCATAAGATACGGTTCTTGGAATCGCGAATTAGGAAATAAAGGAATACGCTTAACTGATACCCAAGGGAATCCAGGCCCTATTGAAGTACTGTTAGGGGCAAACATTGCAAGGAAGTTATTTACTGGCAAACGAGAAGAACTAAGAACAGGTTTAGTGGTTACAGAAACAAAATTGAGTTGGACTTTGATGGGAAAAGTACCTCAATCCGAACATCAGCACAATGTAAATATGACTGCAGTTTCTATGTTATCTCAAGAAGACCTGCCTGTTTTATCATTGTGGGACTTAGAATTATTAGGTATCCGAGATCCTGTTGAACAAAAAACTAAAGAAAAGTCAAGAAGTGCTATTATGGTTCATTTCCAAGAAACAGTTCGTCAATCAGAAAATGGTAGATACGAGGTTGATATGCCTTGGAAGATTGAGCATGCAGTCTTACCTGTCAATTATGACCTGTCTTTGAAAAGACTCGAATCTACTACGAAGAAGTTGGAAAAAATCGGATATCGTGAAAAGTATCATGCAATGTTTAATGAATGGCTGCAGGAAGGAGTTACTGAAGAAGTTCCCCAAAAGGAGTTGTCTTTATCCATTGTTCATTACCTCCTACATCGTTCAGTCATTAAGGAAAAGTCCTCACTATCTTCCATGAAAATTAGACCCATTTTTGATGCTTTGGCAAATCTTGCTAATCAGCCATCTTTAAATGACTGTTTAGAGACTGAAATTAATTTGATTGAAACTATTCCTTCTATCCTAGCAAGATTTCACTTACATGAAATTGGTGTGATTTCAGACATCAGAAGAGCATTTTTACATATATCTCTAAATGAAAGAGATCTAGGTTTTTTACAATTTCTTTGGTATGGTGATGATGGTAGAGTGAAAACATTTCGTCACATCCATGTCTTATTTGGCATTACTTGTAGTCCATTTTTGCTGATGGCAGTTATTGACCATCATTTATCCAAAGAATGGGAAGAAAAATATTCTGAAGAACTTCTTAAAAAATAACAAGATAGTTTTTATGTCGATAATTGCGTAACTAGTGTACAAAATAATGCAGAACTAGAAATATTCATCGAATCTGCAACTAATGTAATGAAAGAAGGAATGTTTGATCTCAGAGGATGGGAAAGTTCTGGCATTCCTGCATTTTCAGAAAATAAAACATCACCGGTATTAGGACTTATTTGGGACAAAGATTTAGCTACCTTAGAAATAGACACCGAATTTTTGAAATTTGATGAAAGAGAAAAGGTAACTAAAAGGAAATTACTTTCACTAGTTAGTCGAGTATTTCATCCCATAGGTTTCCTTGCACTTGTTATGATTCAGCCTAAGATTTTGCTGCAGGCCGCTTGGAAGAGCAAAGAATCATGGGATAATAAAGTGAATGATAAAATAAAAAAAAAAAAAAATTTTTAAATGGGAAAAACAACTGAAATACTTCAAAAATATAAAAATTCCAAGATGGTTAGGCGTGATGAAGGCATCCAATTTAAGTATCCATACTTTTGTCGATGCCAGTAAGACAGATTATGCGGCATGCATTTTCTTAAGAAGTGAATTCAGTATGGATTCAGTGACTGTTCAATTACTTCAATACTGGAGTGTTATCAAAGAATGCTTAACATGTAAAAGGCAAAAGGTAAAACATCTTGAGGTACCTTTTCCGCCTCTTCCAAAAGACCAAAGAGAAGTAGCAGAAGTTTTTCAAGTATCGGGTGTAGACATAGCTGGACCTCTGTTGACTAAATCTAAACAAAAATTGTGGATAGTACTTTTTACTTGTGCCGTATTTAGAGCTATCCATCTTGAGCTAATACCTTCACTGAATACCAATGACTTCATCCTAGCTATGCATAGGTTTATAGCCAGTAGAAGACGAATTTCTGTGATGTATTCAGACAATGGTACTAATTTTACAGGACTAAATAATGCTCTGAAACAATTAGATTGGACTACAATTGAAAGTGAATTTAGAGTCAACAAAATTCGTTGGAAGTTTAACCCACCCTCCTCTCCATGGTGGGGAGAATTCTGGGAACGTTTGATTGGGATTTTGAAAGATCTTTTGAGAAAAAAATCTTAGACGCTCCTGTTTGTCTTACAAGGAATTGCAGACTCTCGTCTGTAAATGCGAATCTGTCATGAACAGCAGACCGTTAACTTACATATTCGAGGAACAAGATCAGAAGACCTTGACCCACTCAATGTTTCTTCAGAATATTCATTAAATGATGTTCCTCACTTGGATCAAATTGAAAAGACTAATATTGTTTTGAGATGAAGACATATTCAAAAGGTTCGTGAAAATCTAAAACGAAGGTTTAAAAAGGAGTATCTGGGTTTCCTTCGTTCTTCAGTTAACAAAAGAGAAGATAAAATACATGTAGGTGACATAGTGTTAATTGGCACAGATGATAAAAAAAGGCTGCATTGGTTGCTACGGAGAGTACTGGAACTCTTTCCAGGAAAAGATGGAGTCATCAGACTTGTGAAACTGTGAACTGAAAAGGGAAACATATTAAGACCAATCCAACGACTGTACCCTTTGGAATGGACACCAAATTACGAGCAAGTTTTATTGGAACCTCAGAAGGTTCCGGAAGTGGTAGCTGAAAATCCTGAGCTTAATACTGACTCTAATGAAACTGTTCGTGTGTCTCGCTGAGGACGAAAAACTTCTAAACAAACTTTTGAACTTTTTGTGTTTGAACTCTTAAAATATTGATTTCAATTTGCAATCTAATATTTTGAAATATTTCTATTATTAATTGCACATTATTGTTATCTGAAATTGTATGTATGTATTATCATGATGTTGCTGTTTTGAGTTTGTATCCCCAAACTCAAGGTGGGGAGAATGTCGAGCTACGATCAAACTGCATGAGAGGTAAGTTTCTCTGTTACGGAATGGCAACGAGAGATTGTTGTTCAAAAAGATGGATGATCGAACTGCATTGTAAGATCATTTTGTGGATGTTGCATATTGTAAAATGAACCTATTACAATGTGCTAAATAGTATTAAAATGCTATATATTAAAAGATCTTTCATCTGATCTAAATTTTAACAAACCGCTCATTATTTTCTCTTAAACTTACAATGATGTTCACAACAGGATGAATCAAATGTTGACACATCTTCACCCATGTAAAAATCTGTTAGCTTCAACCTACTTAAACATGCTTCAGAGGTGACAATACAAAATATGTATTGTAAAGTAAATCTTTACTTACTTGTATATTGTATTTAAAATTTAAAAACAATCATTTGGAACTTAACTCAATCATCATAGGGGTTAAAAGGAGCTATATAAAAAATATAAAATTAAACCTTCAGTTCAATATTATTTACCTTTTATATTCTTGTGTATCAGTTAGCAAACTTTCTAAGTAAGCAAAAGTAAAAGCTCTGAAAAAACAGTTGCCATCAGGGCGCATTTTTCGTATACAGCTGTATTTATTCTTTAAATCCTGAAAAATAAAATGACAATGTATAAAATATAATTAATACAACTTAAAAAGCACTTCTTTAAAACAAAAATTATAATAATAATACTGATACAACAGAAAATACATTTTGAGGCTAGCTCAATTGGAATTTATTACTGCTACCAGATATATACATCTAAATCTCCAATAAGGAAAAATATCTGTTTCTGGATGAAAAAATTATTACCGGAAGTTTATCGCATGAAAAGTCTCGTGAAGAGCTTCTCAGTCATCAGACCCACTTAATAATACTGAACACACTTTAATAAACAGCATCAAACATCAATTTCCAGAATTTTTAATTTCAATTTCTGTTCATTCACTTAATAATTACCATGGGAGATAAAATATTTGTAATATCAGCATTTATCTAGTAAACAAAAATTTAATATTACTGCAAATTTTTTATAATTATTTTTATTACCTTTCAAGCAACTAAAACTCTTCTTAGATTTCTGTCTTAATTAAGATAATAAATATAAAATTTAATTTGTAAAAGTGCTTTTTAGAAACTGGTATGAATTCAAAATTACAATTTCTGTTAGACAGACAGATATAAAAGTAAAGGGGATTTTAAACTTTTTAAGATATTCTCTTTTTGTCTTTGAATTAATTTTATGATTACAATTTAAATTCTAAGACTACATTTAAATACTGTAAAATTTCAAATAAAAAGTCCCCCCTTTATGTTATCCTCCTATTTAGTTTCTGAGGTAGCAGAGTATGTAAAATAGTCTCAACAATTAACCATTTTTCTCATATATAAGACTTAATCTTGATTCAATTGCATAAGAAAGGAAAAGGGAAAATGAACATGCACATCTATTTTATTTAAAACATTTTCTTGAGTCTTCAATGTGAAGAAATCAGTTACTAAGAAGTAAGTTAAATAATATTTATACTTGTCTAATACTCTTTTATCACATACTGAATATCAGAAGGCATACAGAAAAAAATATTTAAATTCTTTTTTTCTTAATTCATACAAGCTATACAACTTTTTATTAAAAAGGAGAAAAATATTTTATTATATAGTTAAATAGTTGCACTTACATTTACTTTCTGTTGATATATAAGATCATCTTCAGCATATTCTTTCTGCAACACAGATAGATCAACTTTGGGTCCTATTAAGGGAATTGTCTCAGCAATCTATACATGAGAAAAATTAACTTTACATTAAAAATTAATCACACATTTTAAATTGAAATAAAAAGTTATGACTGCAAAAGCTCATATTTTAAAACAATGATTCTTGAATGTTTTGGGTTATCACTGCATTTTAAGTAGATGAACTTCAGCAGCAAACTGACTTTTTCTGAACTACCAAATGTCGTATAGTCCAACATAGTTTTGTACCCTTAATTTTACTTCAAGTCTTTGTAATTCTGAGGGAATGTCGCAGGGAAAGTCTAAGATCTCTTCCTCATCTCTCCTACCACCAAACTCTCAAGATGATTTTGGTTTGAAAGGTATTTTGAGCACCCCCTTGCCACACACACACTATATGCTTACAAACATCTATGCCTTCTCCAGAATTCGAGCCCTTGCTCTTCATTACAACAATCAGTGTAGCTAACCACGATCAAAGTAAAACTCCTTATCACTAGCCATTTTTTATTTACATCATATGTAGAAATATTTACCGTGCTAAATACTGTGCAAGAATTACCGTGCTAAAATTTACCGTGCAAGAATAAATAGTGCTAAAAAAAAACTGATAAACATGCAAACACAGATATAAGCATATAACACCAAAGTTTGCTTACATGAAATGATTCTTCCTCATGACTTATAAGAATTTAAAAAGGCTACATCTGAAATCAACATTCTGAAGTTCTGATATGATACGAGTTCTTATAATCCATGAAAGATGAGTTTCGTAAGTAAGCTTGGTAAACAGGTTTGTTAAAGACAGTAAGCTTGGTAAACAGGTTTGTTAAAGACGGTAAGCTTGGTAAACAGGTTTGTTAAAGACAGTTAATTTTAATTTAACAGTTAGTCTTAAGTTGAAGAATAAAATATACAATGAAATTTAGAAAAAAACTGTTGAGGAATATTTCTAAGAAAATATTAAAAACGATTATTGGAGATAAGTTATTTCTTTAAAAGCCATAACTTATAAGCAAAAATGGGGTTTTTCTGATTATCTAAAACCTTGCCCTGTGAAGTTGCTAATTCGTTGCCCACAAAATTTGTGTCAAGCTAACATGTGAAAGGCAACAACCATTTTCAAAATGACAGCGCACTAAGAATTCTATGAAAGAGAAATCAAACAATAAAAGGAAAAAAAAGCAAGAAACATCTGTAATGCGACACTAATCATTTTCAAAAAATCTTTATGTAATTTTTTTTTCCTGTTTTTCCATGTACACAGTGATCTATAATCACTGAAAAAATTGGAGAATTGCACAAATTTGGCATCTTGCATTCTAACACTTCGCTTACAATTTTTCACACTGCATATTTATAAAATTATATCGTTTAAATAGTGAATTTTTCATTCTCTTACTGTCAGGCAAAATGCCACATTTCTGAAGGAATGTAATGCCTTTTTTCCCGTTTCCAGCAAATGCTACACTCCCATTATAATTTATTATAAGAAAAAATACTTTATATGGACACCACAACTTCACTGTACAGCCTATAAAATTGCACACATTTTTGGCTGCACTTAACTTCTCTCTTCAAATTGTATTAGAGATATAGTTACAAGGCATAAATTCATAAAAACTCAAAACATCATTTAAAAATTGAAAAAACACACACACAAAAAAAAAAAAAAAAAAAAAAAAAGAAGAAAAAACCTAAAACAACAAAAACAGCTCTCCCACCCCAAAGTAACTGAGAGTTAATTTTTTTCCTCCCTGAGCAAAAAGTTATAGAAGTTTGTACGTCAAGTGACTTGATTCGCTATTCTATTGAGAGTAGTTTCAAATGTAAATGAATGACCGCAAAAAAAAAAAAAACCTAAAACAACAAAAACAGCTCCCCCACCCCAAAGTAACTGAGAGTTAATTTTTTTCCTCCCTGAGCAAAAAGATATAGAAGTTTGTACGCCAACTGACTTGATTCGCTATTCTATTGAGAGTAGTTTCAAATGTAAATGAATGACGGCCTCGATAGGCCTAGCGCCACTTAAACTTTTAAGTTGTTGATAATTCTACAATTATTGCATGTAGATTAACTAAAGGCAAAAAACCTTAACCAGAATTTAAGACCAACATAATTCAACCACTTTTAAAACTAAAAATGTACAATTTACCAACATATTATGATAAAAATATTGAGCTCACCGGGCTGGGTAACAGTGTAGGAAAATTTCAACATTCTACGTCTACTCGCTTTTTTGAGTTATGCAAGATACATGCGTACATATCTACAGATATCATAAAAAAAATCTCTTCTGAATCCACTTTAAACCCATTTTGGAAAAACCATTTATTCTGTCCACACGTACACATGACAGGCAGAAAAATTGTTCAAACTGATTCAAGAGCGATCAAAATGGATATTTTTGTTGAAATATGATACCTGAAATTTTCATGACTACAGTACTTCCTTTACTTCGTACAAGGAAGTAAAAACTGAGCTCAACGAGCTGGGGAATATATATACGTTTGACATGGCCAATTCAATGAAAATGGGAGGTGCACAACTACATGTTATAGCAGTGCCATATACAAAATTTCAATTCTCTACAGTTACTCGTTTTTGACTTATGCGAGATAAATATATATGTATGCAGTTATGTACATACCGGTGTCTTGAAAATATCTCTTTTGGATCTATTTAACAATCCGTTTTGGAAAAAAGAATCTTTTATTCTGTCTGTAGGTACAGATGTCATACAAAAAAAAAAAAATAATAAATAAATAAATAAAATAAAAAAATCATTCAAAGTGGTCAAAATAGATACTTTTGCTGAAATATGATACTCGAAATTTTTTACAATTACATTTCCTATACTTCGCAGAAGGATGTAAAAATGCACTCAGTACAAAAACAAACACTAATCAGAAAGATAACTGTAATATTTTGGAGAGCTGCATATGCAAGTGCATCATACCTAAGTTGCCACATAAATACATTTTGGCAATGTCATGGTTTGCCATATATCTATTTTGGTGAAATAATGTGTTGCTTTGTGAATACATTTCTGTGCAGAAGGTAGGGCTGTGCATGCAGAAAATCAGGAAAGAAAAAATGCTATATTTAAAGATTTGGTAAGATAATGATCACAATTAAAACAAAGTTACAACTAAACTATAAAAACCACAAGAAAAAATTCTGCAATAAAGCAGATGACTCACTTCTCGTTCAATTTCTCGCTCTTGTGCAATAATGGCTTCATCTTGGTTAACATCTATTTTTAAAAAAATTAGATATATATAATTTGATTTTATCATAAAAGAAAATCAATTGCAATTTTTCACGCATTCTACATAGCCTGTTAGGACTTCTATATAAAAGGAATGTATAGATTTACACATATAATGAATAGGTTTTTTTTTCCTCCTAAAGGTTCTCTGAGACATGAATACTTTCCAAGAGTTCACAAAGATAAAAAGGTTGGGTTACATTACCTATATTAAATCAGAATATTTCAAATTCATCATAACTATTAAAATAAAAAAATAAACTTATAAATACATTAGGTATATTTACAAAGTTTAAAAATAACACTCATTGATTTTACTAAATAATACTTTAAACTTTTATTTCAGAATATACGCTTTATCACTCGATGATATGCATAAAAGCTGAACACATCTACATGCACTGCCAAAAAAACAGAATATAAAAGTTAGCAAAATAAAAGATACTCTTTCATCTTCAATAATTACATTTTGTAGGTAATATGGTTAAAGTAAATACAGTAATCTCTGTCTTAGGGTCAGCAACCCTAAAACATTTATAAACAGCATAAGCATAGCCAGCTCAGAATACAGGAGGATGCCCGCTGATTCCTATGGTTATACTGTTCTTCTGCCTATTACGATATCTTCAAATGTATAGGCAACAATTACATAATAAATATAATATATCCTAATATTAATTATATTATAGATTAAAAAATAATAATAATAAAATTATGTAACATAATTATGGATATACAGCATTTAATTAATGTATTTATAATATACAAATACAGGTATGTCCAAATCAAATGTACCTATTTTGAACAGTCGATTAAAAACAAAGTTTCAGCGCTATGAGGGTGATTTTGGCCACATGTGGGAGCTGAATTTGTAGAGTTTGACGACAATATTTTTTTTTTTTTGCGTCTGACGCACCTGCACTTTTGCTGAGCTGATAAACAGAAAAATGGCATCACCCCAAGAGAAGGCACAAACTGTTTTCCGATATGCAGAACACAAATACGTAGATAATCCGTGAAGACCTTCGTGCCTCCATAACCGCGGCTATTGCTACTATGACTCCAGAAATGGTACACCGGACGTGGTTGAACTGGCCTACCGACTGGACATTCTCAGGGTTACTAAGGGAGCTCATGTGGAATTGTACTGATAGTTTAATAAAAACTTTGTGAGTATTGGTATCTAATTTTACAGTTTTCTTATGCTTTTAAACTCTCTGTTAAGTACAGCAACTTCTTCAAATTAGGTTCATTTGATTCGGACACCATGTATATTAAACAAATATATTACAAGCATATTAACTCTTTAAAAACCTTTTTACAAGCACATTAACTCTTTAAAAACCAAAGCCTTTGCTAACCTTTATGCTAAAATATCCAACCACCTGAAATGGTTTTCAAGAGTTGCAGCAATTCCCCCCCACCCCATCCATTAGCGCACAAAGAAGAGTGAAGATTTCAAATGACATCTTTTCTACTTCTAACAAATAAAGATCAAAAACCAAAAATCAATCATTTTAGGGCAAGCTGTCTGCAATAAACTGATACAATCCATTTTGGGGAAACTGCACCTGCTACTGCATACCTTAAGGAAGAGAAGAAAACAACATAGGAATTTTGGCCGTTTGTGGTCGTTTGAATGAAAGGCCATTGAGCCATTTCGGTCTTCAAAGAGGTAAATGCATATTTCAATATTTTTGTTTTCACCTTAACTATTTTAACATTTATAAAACAATTTTAATATGCATAATAAAGGAGAAACAGTAAATAAGAACAATAAAATATAATCTTAGTAAAAGTACTTCAGGTATTTTACTTTCATTTCTAATGGATACATTCATATACATATAAAAGAATATTAAAACAATTTTTAAATTCATCTTACTTGGGTTTCATAATAATACAATAAAAAAATCCATAGTTTTGTTACAAATAACTACATAAGTAAAAAAACTGAATTAAACATATAAAAGTTGCACATGCACCATTTATGTTGGTCATAAAATTAAATTGCAAATAAAAATGGGGGGGGGGACTTTTCTGCTCTTTCATTAAGGATCGGCAGTTAAAAGATTCTGGAATTTCATTTTTTTTATATTTCTTTGACATAATAATTAATTAATGCCAGAGATGCACTCTTTAAAACCATTTGCAAGATGTTATTGAGCAGAGTAGCTACTCTGTACAAAAGTACATCAATATAAAGAAAAAAGGTTTTCATCCAAAGCTTTTATAGTTGAAGTGTATGGAAGTTTTGCTTTGGGAATAGACAAGAAATGCTGTTACACATGTTTAAAAGAGGCTCTTGAAACCCTCCCACTAACTTTCCTCCTGTATGAATACTTTTTTATGAAATCTTTATGAAAATTTTTTGAGTCTTAAGATTGAGATGGTGGGAGAAGTGGCTTTCCATTGCTGAGTGCATGCATGGAGTCGACAGCTTGGACAAAAGTAAGAGTAACTGAGATTTGATTGTTTGGGACAAGTCTTAATATATTTACTGACAATGTCCACACCCTTCGTGCACTATGAAACTCTCAATGGTACTTTGACCATTAGCTATTAATTCTCTTTAATTCTATAAACAGATATAATTTCTTATTCAGTTACAAAGTTCCATTCTCCCAGTCCTATAATTGCCATGCTGAAAATTGTCACTCAAATTTTTTTCATTTCTCATCAACCTCTCTTGTCACTTTCTTCATTATCAGTAGTGATATTTTCTGGATTTAGAACCATACTAAAGATTTTGCCACTCATTAGTTAATTGATGATCGGAGCACTGTCATCGCAATGAAAAACTTGTTTTATCATCTTCATTTATTACTATTTTTCAACATTTCTTCACAAATTCCATTAAATGGAAAATTTAATGCTTTATTTGTAATATCTGAAACCCTTCAAATTCATGTGTTTAATTAATAAAGCATAGCAAGCATCCATTATACATTATTGACGATGTATAATGAGATTGGCAACTAACATATGTTATTCCACTACATTGCACACTGATGAAGTTAAAAGCCTGAAATATATTAGTTTAGTTATTATACTTACAACACATGCTTAAGGCTTATTACAGTCCCGAATAAATATATTCCCAAATATACATAAGGCTTATCCAGTGCAATATAGCACTAGATATTTTGCAGCCTGGTTCATTCTTTGCTTGTCCTAAATAATGTTGTCAGGTGCTCCTCAAATTCCAACAATACTGTTGCCTCTGAATTTTGCATTGTAATGCCTTCCCACCATTCTAAAGATCTTATCATCCCACAATTTTTTGCTTGGTGCTGTCTAAATTCTAAAAATCTTACCTCCCCGATTTTCAGCTACCTGTGGTTGTACCCCCTCTGGCATTGGTCTTGGGCTAATCAGTCATTCTCAATTCAAACATTAAATGTAATCTTTTGACCTAGGAATATCATTTATAAAACCTATTTTTTGCATATGGGAACAAAATATTAGACTCTTCTCATTAACACTTCAAAGTGCAGTTGGCTGAAGTCTGTAATCATCACTAAGCAAAACGTCCATATAAAAAGTTACCATGCTGTTTTATATTAAATAAAACATTACTTATTATTTTTTGCTTCCAAAATCTAGTAAGTTGACATGTGGAAATTATTAAAAAATAATCCTTATTTATACTTCTTTAAGGAACAGGTATTCTGCATAAAGAATTTTTCTTGACAACCACCACATGAAATTAAAACATCTCAAAGCTGAAGTGGTAGTATTTTCTGTATTTAAAACCATACTACTGATATTCAGTATTTGATTGATTGATGACTGAAGCATTTTTATCGCAAGACTTGAGAAATATCACCTTTATTTTGCATTTCTGATATTCTTAGAATTTTTTTTTTCTTGCGACATCTGAAAACCTTCAGATTTAATGTTCTTATCATCATCATAAAATTAAGTAACTGGTTATAAATTATGCCAAGCAATTTCAAAAATATCTGCAGATATATCCTCTCACCATGCACTAGACCACATATTAGATTTTGTATTACAGTACAAAGTCCATAATCTGGACTCGTCTGGACTTCGGCGATTCCAGATTAAGGGTTTTCCCAGATTATAGATCATCAGTTTAAGTCTGGTAAGATGGCATGCAGAAATTATACAATTAAAAATATGAAACCATAATTTATGAAATAAAAAGCAATTATAATCTAAAGGGTATCAAAATTTAAAAGAAAAAAAAGCTTAATATTTATTTGTTTACTTTATTAAACATTTCTTTCAATGTAAGTTGTTTAAGTTGCTTCGTTTTTTGTGCTAAATGTGCATGCGTACATTTGTGGCTTTGAGGTCAGGATTATAGATCATTCCGGATAATGGACATCCGACTTTGTACTGTAAAATGTTTTTAGAATTCTTGGATGCTACTTCAGCATCAGCTTTTAAAAAGGTACTTTAAATCTGTATTTTAGTGCTTGCAAAATTCTGATATCCATTGGCTGATGTAGTTTTGAGGAAAGAGCAAAATGGAGATATTATCATTTACTAAAACTGTAATTTTGCGAGCATTAATAATAGACAAAACAAAGTAATAAGCTGCTTCAAATAAAAAAAGGGAGAAGGGTAATTTGCTTGGTTAGTTTCCTCGTAATCTAATTTTTTCTTTCTTTCCTGTTGCTGCGCCAACAAAATAAAATCAGTATAGGCAACATTCAACTCTAAATATCTTGGGGCTTTACTTATTGTTTCAGTCAGATAGAAAAAATCCTAACCTAAAACCTACCATTCAAAGGCTGAAAGTACGGTCATAGCTAATGTCAATCACTTTGTTATCATTAGAGTGTTTGTTCTCTAACCAGCACATGTGTGAAAGCTGAATACAGGAGCTCATTTAGTTGAGGAAAAAAACAATATTTTTTATAACACACCTGCTTTTGCTAATCTTTGGAATATGGTAACAGGTAGTTTGGCGACATTTTGGTAAGGCGATAAAGGTTACTAGCTAGGACTTTAGCAGTGTACATGGGTAAAATCAAGATTGTGCGCAATGCCATTTTGGTGCAATTCTGGGATTTTTTTTAAGTGAAAATAGGTCGACATGTACATGGATGATATCGTGTATGTGCAATTCTTAAAAATGCGGCAAGCAGTGGGCGATTCTGCACTTTCTCCCAATTTCGCATCTAATCTTCGTCATGATTAAGCACTTTTGTTTCATAAAAGTTCTACCATAAGCATGATTTGGCTAGCAGATTGTTGGGAAAAAATGGTGAGTAAAAAAAAAAAAAAAAAAAAAAAAAAAAAAAAAAAAAACATGCCTTTACTTCGTGAAAAACAAAATGGCATTCACAAAAAAAAAAAACTAGCAGGTTGCTGCAGCAGGGTTGGTCGAAAAATTTTCGCCAAGTTACCATAATCCGAAGATTAACCTCTGCTTCTTCTCAAGTACTATGTTTCCCATCCCTAAACTTTGAAAGGAAGCACTTTTTTTTTTTTTTTTTCCCTGAGGAGGAGGCAAAGGTTTGGATATCAGAACATTGCGGATATTGGACATCCAGATTTTGGACTTTGTACTCTATTTACTTCTATGATATTCAATAATTATTTTATTTCAAACAGATTTTACTCGGCAACTGCAATTTATTTTACATGTAAATATACATAAATTAATTAAAATTTCCTAATCAATTAATAATAAATTTTATTCATTACTTTTAAATCTCTTTCTTAACTGATATATTTTTAGGTACTTTTTCGTTTCGCTGGTGCAAATCTCACCAAAAGAAACTACTTGGCGACTACATATAGTATACACATAAAAAATGTTAAAAAAGTTCACATAAAAAATGTTAGTTCTAAAACATTTTTATTTTAAAGGCATAAACATTTTAACATTGTTTAAAATTTTGTAAAAATACAATAAATAAAGACAATTAATTTGTAAAAAGCCATTAATTTAAGAATTTGCTATGCTTTCATGGTACAACATCCTGCTTCGCCGTTTCGTATCACTTGCCCCAAATGATCTCATCTTACGTAAACTATGGTACAAAAATCTAATTCTCACAGTAATTAGATATATTTCAAGTTAAATCTTAATTTGGAATACACGTTTAAATGCAAGAATTATTTCAATTCGTACAAATAGCTTACTCAGAAATTATGTAAAACCTGCTTTACTCTGTCTCATTGGAATAAAATTTAACCTCCAACTTTGCCTTTTCTATATTTTTGCCTTCGGGTGAGTGGATTGATTGCATCCTAATTGACTTAATTACCGTGAATGGCCTTAGGGCATAAATTGAAATATCTGGTAAAAACTCTATGTAATTGTTTGCCAGTATTGAAAGAAACAATCAATCTGATATGACTATGACTTGTTTTGAAAATGGAAGTAAAAAAGGTTACTAGCAAGGATATTCCGTTTGGCATCAATTGTACAATTTCTGGCGACTTTATCGCTTGCGGTGGCAAAATAGAAAAGTACCTATTTTTATTATCAGTGCCCTCACAAAAGGAGACCTACTTATTGAGCAATCTTTGCAACATGATTTAAGACAACTTTTCCCACTTTTGTAAATTAGTGAAAAACATTTGACTATCTTAAAAGTTTATATGTACTCACCTGTACATTAGTAATAATAATAATAATAATAATAATAATAATAATAATAAAAAGATTAAATTTCCAATATTTACACCTAGTGGATTCTGTTCGGTGAGATAAAAGCATGTTAAGTCTATCCGTACTCAAACTACATGTGGTATGCACATGCATGTATACTGAAAAATATGCCAAAACACAGCAATTCTACCAAGTATTGAAACTGGCAGTGCAGACAACTACAAAATATTAAAATATATTTTATTTGAACATGAAATATAATTGCACACTTTAAGAACTCACTTCTAAAAATATTTCTCTACTAATGAAGTACACTAAAAAAATCAAATTCTTTTTCTGTTCTCCCAATTTTTTTTTTTAATTATTTATAAAATTTTCATTCAATTTTCTAACTGAATGGACTTCCAAGATTTCTAATTATTTGAAATCTTACTCCTTTTCATTAGCTAGACAGTAAAGATGCACAATATAATTTGCAAAAATAATCATCTAAAAAAATAAACATAAATTTCCTTAAGTAATAAGGCAATATTTTGGTGACCAATTTTATATCATCTGCAAATTGTCTTTTATTCGATACATATCATTTTATAGATTTCAGGAAAAAGTTTCCAACTGAAATTTGTATGCTTCAGAAAAACCTCAGTTTGATAGAATTTAACAAAAAGTTTCCAACAGAAATTTGTATGCTTCAGAAAAACCTTAAACTATAACACAAACTGCCAATATTGAAATCTTAAAAACGGGAGATTTTCACATTGCTCAGTGGCACCACTTAAAAGGAATTCCAGACTGACTTTAATTCTTTTTAATGCATAGCTCAGGTTATTTAACTATCTGGAATTCAGTTCTGATGTAAAACGTATTAGCATTTAATTGCATATTCTGAATTTTATGTTCTTTGGCTAATTTCATTGTTTTAATTTTCTTATACTTTTATACTGAGTATATCCCAAGTACTGATGGAAAGCATTTATTTGTTAAAAGTATTTTTAAATACAATGAAAATAAAATTAATAATTAATGCACATAGTGTTTGTGTGGCCAAACTTTGTAAAGTACCATATACTGATGTAAATAACATTAATTGATTATACATATAAACATAAATCTCCATATTAAAATCTACAAATGTCTATAACGAAGATCAATAAAATGTAATAATAAAAAATATAACTTAAGTGAAATAAAATTGAATAAGAAAAATTATTCTGGAAATTATTGATGGTAGTTTTTGGTTAATTTAAAGGTTGAATATATTGAAGTTTTATTAATTCAATAAATTTCCTTTCTTGCTGTGAAATATCTCTTGAAATGAAATTCAAAACCGGGAGATATGGTGATCTACCTGGAGACCAGGAGATGTGATGAAAATAACGGGAGAGTCGGCAGCTGTTATAATAATAAAAATTCATAATGACAAAATATAATATAATTAAAATATGGTACATTAAAGCTTAATTTTAATTTAATGCTTCAGAAATATGACTACTAATGTGCAGTTTACTTAAAAAAATATTTAAAAAGCATTTATTTATAGTAAGTGAATAAAGCCATAAATACAAAAAATGACAAAATTACAGGGACAATAACAAATATATAAATACATACGTGACGCTAATTTGACAGTTTAGAAAGCAACATAAATTATTACATACATTTACACAGAAAAATTTTATTCCTTCTCAATAAAACATACAAATGCATGTTTACCAAAACCTGCAATGTAATTCTTTCGATATTCAACTTGCACACTTGTAAATAAAATCATACAAGTGTTGCAATGGCATGATTGTCAATGAAATATTTCAAAATTTATTGATTTATTTGGTGCTTAAAAAAAAATTCGACACCAGAACTTTCAAGAAATGTCTTTATATCCAACGGATAGTTCATCTGATGGTTTATGAAACTTTGGAAGAACTATCAGATGGATGCCTCAACGCCAGAACAAAGAAACATCAGCAAGCTTTAAAGTAACAGTTAGAATATGTGCAATTGCTATTAGTATTTACATACGCTCCAATTAATTTCATTCATTTATGAATAACTTATTGCAAAATACCTTTATTTAAGTTTATTTGAATTTGTTCGCCTTCGTCTCCCATATTTTCAACTTACCAATATTTCATACTATAGTTTTTATAGTGTTGCCATTCCAATTCTTTGGCCATACTATACAAAAATGATCCTTTTAACATCTAACTTAAAAAAAAAGTTTCAGATACTTTATAATAATTTTATATATATGTTTCACATATTCGATTTATCATTAATAGAATGTTTATGTTACTATAAATGACGCTCTAATGATGATTTTTATCTGCGTAGCTAATTCATGTGTGATTTGGCATCAGGAAACGAACCGTCAAATAATGATGTGTATCCCGTGTTTGTTTACGAAATTTGGGATTAATAAATAGGCCGGCATATTAATTAAACGTGAGAAATGGCTTCGTCTCAGTCATCTGTGATTCAGGTTTAAATGCTAATATTTCATCTCTATAAATATAATTTTTGTTTTTACTGAACTCAGTTTTAAATTATCCTATAGCTTATATTCTGTTTTGTGTGTATTGTGTATCATGCTCTTTTCGGTGCTAAGTTAATAAAACTATTTACTTTGAAATGAATGAAACGTTTCGTGTAATTCTTCTGTAGCAATATTATGAAGCAATACTGTGTACATACATATGTTAAATTTGAAAGAATTTTAAGGATAAGCTACAGTATCTGTAAAAATATTTCAACTAAATTTTAAAGACAATATATTTCAACTAAATTTAAAGACATTTCAAAAGCTAATAGCATTAGCCTAAAATGCAGCTAAAATAAAATTAAGTTTGCTGAAATAATTTATAATAAATTTAAAACTTGGAAAAAAATTATTTAGGGTACTCCTCTGTAATCAGGATTGGATTCAGAAATATATATATGTATGCACATGTGACATGTGCATATATGTGTGTGTACACGCACATGTACATACATATGCATACATAAACATATACATACATTTCTGGACCTGGCCTAATAACAGAACAGTACGTATTTAGTTTAAAGTTTTTATTTAAGTCACATTTTAAAGGATTTTATTACCTAGCAATAAGTAAACCTCTTAAAATTCATATAATGTTGATTGTAGTGTGTTTTGTATTTTAATTTGATTGAGAAATTTATAAACTATTATGTACTAAATATATTATTTGTACTTAAATGAATAATATTTAGGCTGAATTCTATTTGCTGTAAACATCAGCAGAGAGTTATCTGTGGATATTAATTTTAAGAAATTAATAATTTGCAAATATTCTTCTGTAATCATTTCGTGTGTTTGCTAAGACAAATAATATGTCCAGATATTAAGACAACTTTTATGATAAAATAGTGGGTGTTGAAGTATGTTATTTTTTTTTCTAGTTCAGTGACACTCCTGATGCTCAGTCAGAATTGCAGTTCCAAGGTAAAGTACATATTAATTTGGTTCTAAATTCAAATTGCCATTTCACTTATTTTTTAAGAAATATTTTAACCAAAACATTGAATATGTTTAATGTCATAGATATAAAAAAATAAATGTATATTGCAGTAAGAAATGTGGTACCCATTTAATATTAACCCTCTCAGTGTTAAGGTCGGAAAATTCCGTACAGAAGGTTGCCTTCCACATTCATTATACATGAAAATTTCTGCTAGCTTTTAATGTATCTGATTTTAGTTTGGATGTATATTGGAAGAAAAGGAATCAAGGTACAAGATGAAAGAGTCATTTTTTAATTAAAATCAAGAAAATATCACTTATTCATGACATTTTGAGGAACTTTAAAATTTCAAGGCTAAACCCGTAACGCTCAAAGGGTTAAATGCTCTAGTTTTACAGTATTTTTTGTGGGGGGGGGGGGGGTAATCATTGTTTCTAAGCAGTATCACTAAACAAAGAATAAAAACAAATAAGAGTTGCTGTGTATAGATTAATTAATTATTTGGATACAACTCTAATATACGCCCTAATTTCACCAAATGTGGCAATATGTGTTTTGCGCTGGTTTTTGGCGCGATTGCGTGTTCTATGGCAACCCTGTTGAGGTTGAAAATCTTTCGCTGGAGCTCATTGGTTCGCCTCTATGTCTGAGAAGATGGGAGGGAAAGATAAAATGGTAGTTGTTGAATTGAAGTTCGGCAAAAGGAAATATGATTGTGGCTATCCTGTTGAGGGGTATTGGGTATTTGGAAGTGGGGAAAGAGGGTCTGGGAGATTATTTTTAATGGCAGTACATGATAGAAGTAGGGATTTGTGATTTTATTTATTTGTGAACCATAGTAAATTTTCTGGATAGTGTGTCTGGCTGTTGTGTAAATACGATAGTGATTACGTGGCGGTATGTTAAAGGCGGTATGAAATTTATATTTCTGCTATTCGAAAACGCATTAATTAATGGTAAGTGCATTTTATTTTATCCTTGTTCTTATTTTGTAGAATGTTATGTTCATTGGTTCTTTAGTATGAATTTCTGTTGTTATTGTTGTTTTTTTAAATTGTTTGAAATTTAGTTTATTTTGTTGTTTAGTGTCTAGACTGTGCAATTCGTAGATGTTTTTTAAAGTTGAAACAGAACGCTGTGTACATGGTATTATTTGAAATTTATTGTTGTTATGTTATTTTATTAAAGCGAGGAGTGCGTAGATCGTAGATTCCTTCCTTGCCTAAATTGTGCAATTCGTAGAATTTTTTTTAAAGTTTAAACAGGATGCTGTGTACATGGTATTCTTTGAAATTTATTATTGTTATGTTAATTTATTAAAGCGAGGTGTGCGTAGTTTGTAGATTTGCCAAAAATATTTGGCGAGAAATTTGGCGACTTGAGGGCGCATATCAGAGTAGTTCCATTATTTGTATTACTGATTTGGTATGAGATCTTTCAAAAATTCTATCTTTTAATAATTGTAATATCTAAGTTTGATACTTTTCCGTTTTGCCGGTGCAGGCGATAAAGTCGCCAATAATGGAACAACTGATGCCAAACGGAATATCCTAGCTGGTAGCCTTTTATGCCTCATTTTCAAAACAAGTCGCAGTCATTTCTTATCAGATTGATTGTTTCTTTCAATGCTGGCATGCAGTTACATAGAATTTTTACTGAGATAGTTCAATTTTATGCCCTAAGGCCATTCATGGTAATTAAGTCAATTAGGATGCAATCACACCGCTCACCCAAAGGTGAAAATATAGAAAAGGCAAAATCAAGGGTTAAATTCATCGATTCTAATGAGAATGTATTAGCGAAGTAAAGCAGTGCGGTTTTACATAATTTCTGAGTAAGCTATTCGTACGAATTGAAATAATTCTTGCATATAAACTTACATTCCAAATCAAGATTTAACTTGAAATTAGTGTAGATAATTACTGAGAGAATTAGATTTTTTGTAGCATAGTTTGCGTGAGATGAGGTCACCTGGGATCACATGATATGAACCAGCGAATCAGGATGTTGAACCATGAAAGCATAGTAAATTCTTAAATTAATGTCTTTTTACAAATTTATTGTCTTTATTTATTGGCTTTTTACAACATTTTAAATGACATTAAAATGTTTATGCCTTCAAAATAAAATAAATCTTAGAACTAACATTTGTTAACATTTTTTATGTGTATACTGTATGTTGTTGCCAATAAAGTTTGCTTAGTGAGATTTGTGCTGGCGAAACAGAAAAGTACCCTAAGTTTTTTTTTCCCCCACCTTTCCTGTTTAAAAATTCAAAAAAGCCAAATTCATCCCTCTGGTATCTTATTTCATAAGTAATATCTGGAATTTTGTATGAAAACCGTCTGAGCATTGGTATATTTTTATGAATTTCTTAGGTAAGGAAACCTATATAAATACCATGAAAATTAATGATTAAAAGAAAAGAAATTAGATAAAAGAAAGCATAAAATACAATTATACATATGAACTGTATATTTTACTTCTATGATAGGTTATTATCTCGTTATCTATATTTGATAACTAATGTTGAAACTTTAGGTTGTACAGAAGGCGTTTATAATACAGTTATGAAATCAGAAATAAATTTGCATTGAATTTCAAGAAATGAAAGTATCTCAATCTAATCAAAATTGTAAAAACAACCTTGTATTTAGTGTAAGTATATTGAAACACTCAATCGATTTTGAGGGCAGCTAAAGTTTTCGATTTTGAGGGCACGTGGTTATAACCGGATTTTTAATCGGAGTTACACTGGCCGCCTACTTTTACTGAGCCAGGCTATCTGATCAAACATGCAACACGAGGACAAGAAAATTAGCGAAGTAAAAATAGGTAGCGAGGGGCAATTGCACCTTCACGCTCAAAATCTGAACTTCGAATAATAACCACATGCAGTGCTGATAAGGACCATGTGTTCCTGAGACTCCTTCCCCTTCATTTTTCTTCTTTCTAGGTAATTCTTTCTCCTGATGAGGAGGGACCTTTGGCTGCCCTCGAAATCGATTGAGTGTTTCAATATACTTATGCTAAATACAAGGTTGTTTCTACGATTTTGATTGTCACATTAGCGTGTTTCTCTTCTAGTCTATCTCAATCTAGTTAGCTAACTATGTGTTAACTGGTATTTTTTGATTCCACACCCCTACTGAAAAATCGCAAACTCATTGTCAGCTTTTGAGAGAAACATTTGCTATGGGTATCTTTATTTCTTTTTCAGTGATGCATCCAGTGCTTTTTTTTTTTTTTTTTTTTTTTTTTTTGCATTCTTCCTTTGCCATACAGTACATCTCCACATTTAATTTTTTTTGCTGTGTTATTCTTCCTATATACACAGAGATCTGCTTTTGGTTAAAAAAAAAATAATGGGTTAGTCTATTTTAGGGTGCCCCTTGGATTATCGCCAAGTTGTAGTTTCGTTTATGGTAACCTGACTAGTTGAATGTTATTGGTTGCGTGATTACAGTGAATTTGACTGATGAGAAAATATTTGTAAGTGCTTATTTATGTGTTGGATGTTGGTTAGGAAGTATGTTGCTTGTTTTGTGCTTTACACCGTATAAAGCCTGCTGGTGGTATGATTAACCTGAAGTTTTTGCACCATTTGGAATGAATGGGAAAGACAGGGTTCGTATGGTCCTTAAGAGTCCTTAAATTTTTTAAATCGATTTTTGGTCTTTAAAAGTCCTTAATTTTGGCCCAAAATCAGTAGAAGTCCTTAATTTTAATAATCTGAAATTTCTGCCTGTTTTTACGACTGCCATTTTGAGTGTGAATTAGCATTTTGGAGGAATATTTTAAGTGATTCACTGGCATATGTGGTTATCTTTTGAATGGGTTCATGGGTTATAATTTGTTTCTATTTCTAATGATGGGATACTCGAGTTTCTAAGCAAGAAGTGAAACATAAGCATTAAACTTGTCAACATTTTGGCGATTTTTAAGATCAATTTCTATAGAAAATTTTTAATTCCAAGATCTGAGAATTTTTCGGCGATTTTTTTTTAAGCATCATAACATTGTTCATAACTGTTCTTATTTGACATAACATTGATTAGAAAATGACATGACATAAAATTTTTGATAAAATTTAATAATGATGTGACATAAAATTTATCAACATTGATAAATTTCATTAAAATAATGGTACTATATTAGGATTATATTTAAAAAATAACATTAAAATAAAACATTTTTATTTTTTGCTGTCATGTTATAAAGTTTCATTTTGGCAACTTATTATACAATATTTTTAATCTAAAAAATAAACAAGGTATGTAGCTATAAAGCATAATTTATGAAACAGCTCTTAGCAAAAGCAAAATTAGCTATGTAATTAATTAAAATGCCTTCTTTTTAATTTTTTTCATAGTAAGCATTTTCCCCATGTAATTGTCTTAAATTATTCAAAATTCTCAGAATATGCATCAGAGTTTTCTATAAAATTAATTTTACACTTTTTCCTTCACCCCCTCCTTTTTTTTTTTTTTTTTTCTCAAAATATTTCTGGCTTTTTGCTGTTATAAAATTGGTTGGGATAATTTTCCTTTAGTATTTTTGACATTGCAGCATGGAAAGTTTAGAAGGATTTGAAGGCAAGATTTATAGACCCATGATTCTAGAAGATTCGAGAAATGTATGACAAAATGAAAAAATGTTTCCATGGCAACAATACGTAATGGATGCATTTTACAGAAAGTTTGCGATGAATTTCTAACTTTTTGGAGAACGTCTGGAAGAACAATGAAAACATAATATTTGAATGTTTTACTCCTGATACTAGAATCGTTTTTCTTAACATGTCTATCTTCCCTTTATTTTCTCTACTTTTCGCTAGATAAAAGCATGGAAAATATCAAAAATGCTTCTAATCTTATCACTTGTGCAGCCATTATAGAAAGAGATTTTTTTATTAATAAAGAAATTGAAAACTTACAATTTAAAAGGTTCATCTAATATGTCTAAATGTATCGTACACAGA